TTCATTGCCGCGTGTGGGCTTTCTCTAGTTGCGGAGCGCGGGGGCTACTCTTTGTTGCGGTGCACGGGCTTCTCATTGCGGTGGCTTCTCTTGTTGCGGAGCACAGGCTCTAGGCACGTGGGCTTCAGTAGTTGTGGTGCCAGGCTCAGTAGTTGTGGCACGCAGGCTCAGTAGTTGTGGCTCGCGGGCTCCGTAGTTGTGGCTCACGGGCTCTAGAGTGCAGGCTCAATAGTTGTGGCATATGGGCTTAGTTGCTCTGCGGCTCCACGGGATCTTGCATCAGGGCTCGAACCCGTGTCCCCTTCATTGGCAGGCAGATTCTTAACTACTGTGCCACCAGGGAAGTCCCACAGCATTGTTATAAGTGAAAGATGACACAGGAGGGTCAGAGAAGGAAATGTGGCTGTGGAAGCGGAGGGTGGAGTGATGTGAAAAAGGGACCATGAGCCGAGGAGTGCTGGCAGCCTCCAGAAGCTGGAGAACACAAGCAGATTCTCCCCTGGAGTCCCCAGAAGGAACACAGTCCTGCTGACACCTTGATTTTAGACTTCTGACGTCCAGAACTGTAATATAATACATTTGTATTGCTTTAAGCCACTAAGTTTGTGGTGATTTGTTACAGTAGCAATAGAAAAATAATACAGTCCTTCTGAAAATTGAATTAATCATCTGGTAGAATCAAGTGGAAGAACTATTTCATGTCACAGAACAAAAGAACAAAGAGAAGGAAATCACTAATGAAATAATAGACATGGACTACAGAGCTAATATACCTAGTCTAAGTAATAGACATCTAGGAGAAGAAAAAAGAACAAGTAGAAAAAAGTAAATAAGTAATAGAAGAACTTGTCAGTGAGCTGAGGAAAGACTTGAGTGTACATTAAAAAGGTCACAGAGTCATAGGCAAGATTATTAAGCAGGAAATAAACAGATCCAGAGTTATATGATTCACGAATTCCAAGAATAATGATGATAATAATAAAAAAGATTTACAGGCTTTCACATAGCAAATTTACTTACATAGGAGAGAGAGACCAACATCAAACTTCCCTTTTATAACCTGTTAAGGATTATTAAATAATCTTAGTAGTCTTAGGGGGGCAGGGAAGATTGCAATTAAAAACTCATATATTTCCAAAGATGTCATATATCTATTAGGGCACAAAAAGACATTCATTTATTTATTCATTTTATAGCTGTATATTTAGTAACTAGGTACTATTCTAGTCATTAAGGATATGGTGGCTTCCATATCACTGGAAAACTTTAGTAATAATCTCAAACTAAATATTTTTAAAACAGTCTCAGCACAGTCCAGGACTTAGGAGGGGTGAATGGAAAGCAGTGAGAGAATGGTTTTAAAAAAGTGTTGTGAAAGCTTCACCTTGGTGTGGGGTAAGTTACCTAGTAAGGTTTCCCTGTGGGGTTAGGTTGAAAAAAACATAAGTCTAAGTATGTGTGTTAAGAATGAGAAAGTAACCACTGAAGTGTCAAATTAACATGGGTAAAAGAATAAATAGAAATTCCACTTGCTAGGAAAAGAAGAAATAATGAACAAAATAAAATAAACAGAAATTATGAAATTACATGAAAGAAGAAAGCACCAGTCTTCATAATAGACGAACTTGGAGATGGCAGAATTCAGTCCCTGGATGTCACTGTTGAGCTGCTGGAAAACCCACTTTGAAGCCCACTCGGTGTGTAAACTTCCAATTACATGAAATTATTTTATTTTTTAAGGTACTTTGAGTTGAGTTTTCTGACTCAGCAGAAAACATCCTAATAATACCCCCCATTTCACAGGTGAGAACACTGAGGGTCAGAGAAGCATAAACCTAAAAGAAGGAACACTTGAGAGGAGAAAACCATAAAAAATTTTTGAAATTTAGCAGACCTGAGAGAATTTTAGAAGTAACTAATTTAGCAGACCCAAGAAAGCTGAATCCTAAGCCATCTGTGCTTGATTTATATTCCAGAATCCCCTAAAGTCCCCAAAAGTGGTACTACCAGACACCTATGAAAGTGGGGATAAAGTGGAAAAAGTTAAGATAAGGAGGATTGGTGAAAAGCCTGCTTATGAAACGATTTGATCCCCACCTCTTTCCCCTCCATCCAGGGTACCGGACCACTGCCTCTTCCCCGTCTCAGCAGTAGAGGGAGGGTAATTCTCCAGAGAAAGTGAGACTGTGGCCTGGGCACAGATTGGAGGAGTGGAGGATGGGATGAGTGCTTACAAACTAAATGTGTGAGCTCCCATCTCCCATTACCTGGACAGCCAAACTTTAATACCCCAAGAAGGAGATCAGAGAGTCTTATCTGGGGAATCTGGTCTACCCAGGAGGACAGTCTCACACCCTGCTAGCAGTTGGGTGTCCATGAAAAACCCAGCTGGATTACCCAACAGGAAGTCTTGTCAGGTGCCACCCATGCAATCTTAGAGTTTCAAATGATCATTTTTAGTGCTTCCTTCTTAAATATGAACAGATGACTAAGCCTTATCATACTTAAGAGAAAAACCTCTCATGGGAAAGTAGGGGCCAAAACAAACAATGAAGAACACTAAGGGGAGATGGAATATGCACAGGATAAGAAAAAAGTAAAATCTATCATCGGTATCCTGGGAGAGACTGAGATTGCATCCATGAGAAGGGCCAGGATTCCATTAAAAATGGAATAGCTAGTGAACAGAAAGGGCCTCTTGAAATTTAGAAATGATAACGTATCTAAAAGATTGGAAGTTAAAGAAAATAGGTCAACAGTGACAACCATAGGGAAGAGTTGAGAATAGTAGAGGACCATTTCAGGAGATCTAACATCCAACTAATAGAATTCCAAGTGGGGAGAGGAGAGAAAACAGGATGGAGGAAATGACAACATCAAGAAAATTTCTCAGCTCTAAAGGACAAGAACTTGGAGATTGAAAGTGCTCACTCAGTGCCCAACATGGAACATGAGAGTGACTCACCGACACTGGGACAAAGGCCGACACGTTCTCTCAGGGAGAATGAGAAGCAGTTCACACTCAGGCCCAGGAGGAAGAAGAGCTTCAGACTTCTCAGAGCTGACACTGGAAGCTGGGGGGCGGTGGAGCAGTGACTTCACGATTCTGAAGGGTAATTAATTTTGAACTAACTAATAAAGAATAATAAACTCGTAAACACTAAATAAAAAGGTTCCCCTGCTATTTCTTGATTTTCCAGCATTAAGTTAACTATTACCTGACAGCTATGGAAGATGAGGGTTTAAGTTCCTGTAAACCACACACCTTTTCATTCCTCATTTATAGTTTTTAAATATAAAAAAATAATTTATATTTAACCAAACTTTCATATTCAGACTTGTATAGTTTCAAAAAAATTGCCTCCCATTCACCTTTTCTTTGTAAGCTTCTGGAGGAAATACAGACATTTGGGAGGAAGGTTTAGCTTCGAACTAGTAGTAAATGCATAAAAAACTAAGCAAATGTAAAAAATAGATTAATTCTGGGGGTGGGAAGAAGAATGTTATGGAAGAAAGGAAAGCTAATCATAGTTTATTACATGGGTAAGCGGCAGAATTTATATTGTAATAATGTAGGCATTGAATATTGCTGTAACCAAAATTACCAATACAATGATATATGAAAGGGGGGGATGAATGTAAAGAAAAGCATTAAAGACACTGAGGGTCATGATGCAGTGATAAAAGGTGTGATTCATAAGGAACATGTTACAGTCTTAGAGGAGCCCCCAAATCTTATCAAATACAAACGCATAATGAAAAAATTCTTAAAAACTGAGAAAAAACTATTCAGTCAAAGTACAGTTGTAGTGGGGGATTTAAATTTGTCCATTTCAGAATTTAGCAGATAAAATAGAAAGAGTATGGACATATACAAACCACTGAAGAATCAAGCAGAAAATATGAATAAGGTGTACATGTTAAAGTAACAATGGGAAAATATTTTTTACCCATCATATTGGCAAAAATTCAAGAGTTACAACATCCACTGCTGGGGAAGAGATTGGAAAACACAGATCTTCCTTGACTTACAATGGGTTACGTCCTGGTAAACCCATTATAAGTTGAAAATATCTAACCTACCAAACACAGCTTAGCCTGGCCCCCCTTAAGTGGGTGCTCAGAGCACTTATGTTAGCCTACAGTTGGGCAAAATCATCTGACATCAAGCATATTTTATAATAAAGTGTTCATAGAAATGTAAATTATTATAATAACTTATTACAATATATCACAACATTTGGCGGGAAGTAACTTTTAAATATCTCTTAAAACTCTAAATGCTCATATCCTTTGACTTGGCAGTCTGAATTTTGAGACTCTGTCCTACAAAAATAATAGAACCAGAAAGTACTGGATGTTCATAGAAAAATGTTTGTAGTAGCAAAAAATTGAGGAAAAGCTGAATATTCATAAACGGAATAATTCTGAATAAAACGGAAGGACATCCATATTCTGGAATTATTATTCAGCTGTTAAGAAGTTGAGACTGTCAGTGTGGACATATCATTAACTAGGAAAGCAAGTGGTGAAATAATGTCTGATTTGACCCATTCTTATAAAATACATAGTAAAAATCATGAGTATGATTTGTATGTCTGTTATGAGTATGTACATGAAGGTGAATAAAACCTCACCCAAGCTTTTGACAGTTGTTGCGTTAGGGAGGTGGGATGAAGAGGAGGAGATCTTGATTTTCTTTCACTTTTTATAATAAGCACATGATGCTTTTGTAATTAATGAAAAATTAATAATAGATCAAGTAAGAATTTTACCAGAGTCAAAAATTTTCTAGGAAACATGTAGTGTTTAATCAGCAAGAACTTGGAAGTTTTAAGGAGTAAAGAAATGGATGTACTTTTCTGTGAGTCACAGCAGCCCTTGTTTTCATTATTAGTGATCGGGATTTGCAGTGTGTTTTTTATATTTTCTTTAACTGTGAGGGCTGCCTGTTCTGGGGTTCTGTTGTTATGTTTCTGAAATGTTTTTGCTTTTGATAGGACTGTCTTCATCAGTGGAACACAATATAATGGAGTTGGAACAAGAACTTGACAATGTAAAGACTCTTAAGACAAAATTAGGTATTGTACATTTTTTTCCTTGACTTATGTATTGGTCTTGGTTTCTTATTAAAGACTTTACTGTAGTCTAGAATATTTTTTAAAATTGTGAAATCTCTATGTTACAAGCTCTCAGTCTGTCCAAAGCCATTAATAAAGAATGTCTTTTAGTTTGGAGAGAGGATGAGCACGTATTTATTCACTTTATGTTGTTGTTGTTTTGTATGTGTACAAAATGACTTTTCAAAGATGATGATGTTCCAAAATATCACTCCACTATCTTTTCACTTGTATTATTTATGATAAGTAATCTTCTGTTATTCTTATCTTTTAATGTCTTATTTCTTTGTATTTATCCTTCTTGAGATCTGTGGCACTTCATGAGTGTGTGGCTTAATGTCTTTCATCCACTTGGGAAATTGTTGGCCATCATCTCATCAAATATTGCATCTGCTCATTCTCTTTTATTTCCTCAGACTCCAGTTATACATATGCTAGACCTTTTTACTCTTAAATCTTTTTCTTTATATTCCCTCCTTTTTTCTTTTTTTTGGAAAATAAGTAAACTACTTTATTTGCAGAAATCATAATCAGTTATTTAAAAATCCCTTTGGAATCTACAGAAAAAGCTAGAATGACTTCAATTTCCATTATTATGGCAGCTCTCTGACATCTTCATACACATTTCTTTTTAAAAAATTAAGTTTGATCCATCTTTTCCAGTTGTTCATGACGTAAGGATTGGTGTGTTACAAAGTAGACCTTTGTCACTAGAAACAGAGATTTGCTTCCAGCCTTTAGGAAACTGGAAGTGTTTGCCTTTAGGATGTGGGATTAGAGGGGATTCTTAACTCATGTTACCTGATATTTCCAGATCTCTATCAGTGTGTAAATCTATCATTATAATAATATGTAAATTTTAAAAAGAAATACAAATATTACTGTATTTTCAGAGTAAGCTGTATATCCACAATATGTTTCATCAATAATTGAAACGTCTTTACATTGCTAAAATTTGAGCATCACAGGATTGAGCTGTTTAATGTGGCAAACTGATTTTAAAATTCTGATTTTTATAGTGTGTGGAGGAAAATTAAAAATAATTTATGTTTTTAGGAAAAGATAATTTATGTAAGAATAATACGTACTGGTTGTATTAGTAGGGAATGAAAATGTGAATCTGGGGAGAAGTTTTGGAAATTACTGAAACTTTTATTATATTTTGTTTTTCCTTCTAATAGAGAGGCGCAAAAAGGCTTCAGCATGGGAAAGAAACTTGGTGTATCCTGCTGTTATGGTTCTCCTTCTTATTGAGACAGTAAGAATTTATTTGCCTAGTTAAATAAAGCAGATTATTTTTTATTTACTTTAGCATTTGTGTATGGCAACTCCCTCAGCTAAATGGTTTCAGGTAAACTGGTTTTCTATCAACAGGATTAAAATCTGTCTACACTTTTATTTGTAAAAACTCAATAGAGCAAAAAATGAAATTAATGGTAATTTTGAAAAGTCCTCACGATTATCTATTTCCTCATAGAAGCAGGAAATTCATTCTTTTGTTTCAGTTGAAAATTAAGAAGAGACAAGGTGTTGCAGATACCCTGATCAAACTCTGTGATAAGATCTGAAAATTATATTATTAAATTAGTTCTGATAACATTTTAACCATTTTTTAAATATGTGGAGTTGTGGGTTCCAGTTGGTAAAATCGGTTAATAAGTGGATCTATATTAATAGCTTTTTTCTTAAGCTTTGAGATTACAGTACTTTGCAGAATTTTTACGAATTTATTCTGGAGTTTTTATAGTCTCATTACTTCAGGTTTATATGTAGAGTTTTGGTCTTGACTGCTTTTCCTCTATTCTGAAGCATACATTTGGTTGGTTACTTAGATTTTAATGTTATGTGTATTGACAAAACTGAAATTCAGAACTGATGGCTTACTTTTTGTGTTGTAGTCCATTTCGGTCCTCTTGGTGGCTTGTAATATTCTTTGCCTGTTGGTTGATGAAACAGCAATGCCAAAGGGAACAAGGGTAAAGTAAAATGCTTTAAAATGTCTTTCTTTTGCAAAAGTATTCTGTGTGTATAAACTGAGTGTTTCAAATAAATAAATGAAAACATTCACCTTTCTGCATATATATACTTCAAGTTGTATGAATTTCTTTATGCAGTGAGCTTTCATAAACAGTGTTTCTAAACTATGTTTTTTGTTTCTGATTTCTTATTTTGGATTGTCTGGCTTTTTATCAAGTATCAGAGTTTCCTTTTACACTTTGTATCAGAGTTTATCTTTGTTTTACTGAAATTCGTATTTGTGATCCTTTAAGAAAATGTATATTTTGTGAAATAGTGAAATATAAAGAGTTTATTACATGGATTCGTTGCATTTGCAAAGGATCCAAATATGTGGTTTTAAGGACTCAGGCCTCAAAGGAGTCATTTTATGAACTTGAGTCAAAATGTTCAGTTGCTGGAGGAGAGTCAGATATACATCTTTTCATGAATTAACTTAATTATTTCTCTTGTTTAAAAATTCATGATTTTATTAAGTTCCATCAGTTAGTCTATTTAAATATATTCTCCATATGGAAGGTAGTTTCTGCTAAATATTCATATATGGCATACTTTTTCTAGGTGTCTCTATAAACTTTTGGATACTTAAAGTAGCATTTAAGTTTTGACATTTTATTACACTTTTCGAAGTTAGCACCTTTGCCATCTCCCATAAGAGATGACTTCAAAACTCTTCCAGACTTTTCATGCTTTGGGGGAGGGAAAAATTTTTCCTTAACCCTTTCTAGGATCTTCTGGCTGGTCTAAGAATTAGATTTACATGAGGCAGATTAACAGGAGAAAACAGAATTTAATTACGTGTATGTGGGAACCCGGTAAGAGTAATGAGACCCCAGGACAGGTTGGGCAATTGAGGCTTATATTCCATCTAAGAGAAGGAGAAGCGGGTAGGAGCTTGGGACTTCAGGCGGGAGGAAGGCAATTCACACGGAGATGGAAAGCAGATGTTTGGTAAACAGAGGGGACCCAGAGAGGCCTTTGGTCTCCAGGTCTTGCGGGTTCCGTCTACCACACTCAGCCAATATACTCTTTGTAGCTGTCTCCGGTGATAGTGCTCTGCCTGGACCAGGCCCTTCATCTGAATTCTTTTAGGCAGTTAAGGGGTGAGGTGGGGGTGGTGCTAAAAAGAAAGACTTACGAGTCTTCTGTTTCTTAAAAACAATCAGCCTAAAATGATCCTTATTCCAGAGAGACACCTTTTGGGGTGCAGATTTTGTTTCCCTACATGCCGCTTCTCTCTCTGAACCACACGATACACCTTTTCTCTCATAGAAAAAAGCCAATGTTTATCTTAATTCCTTTCCTTCAGTCAAAGATGAAGATACCCTCTTCTTTCAGAAGCTAATTCTTTCAGCAATATTCTCAGTTTAGCTCCCTGCCCCCAGCCTCTTCAGGACCTTGTGCCATCTCTCACTGCCATGGCCTCTCCACCACTGCGAGCCTGCCAGCTTGCTTCAGGTCTGTCATTCCACTAACAAAAAACAGCAGTGAGCAGTCCTCCTCCATCCACAGCCTTGTCGTTGTCTTTTGTTTAGACCGAAATCCATTGATCAAGCAAAAGTCAACTACTGTGTTGACTTCTATCCATTTTTTTTTTTTTTTTTTTTGTGGTATGCAGGCCTCTCACTGTTGTGGCCTCTCCTGTTGTGGAGCACAGGCTCCGGATGCTCAGGCTCAGCGGCCATGGCTTATGGGCCCAGCCGCTCCGTGGCATGTGGGATCTTCCCGGACCGGGGCACGAACCCGTGTCCCTGCATCGGCAGGCGGACTCTCAACCACTGTGCCACCAGGGAAGCCCTCTATCCATTTTTAAACCCATTTTCTTATACCACATACTAGGTGAGGCCCAAGCCCTGTGGTACATTTTTGTACCATTCCTTTCGTGCATAGTACAGAAGGACTTACATGTGGTATGCTCTTTTTATGATTGTGTAAATAAATCAGATCACCTTAATCTTGCCTGTAGGCCTTCTCTTGAGACAGAGAATATTTCCAAAGTGTTTTCCATCCCAGTTAATAAGCTTTCTGTTAGCATTATTCATTTTTTCTTCAAAAGATTGACAAAAGTTCATAAATTCTTTGTCCATTACCTTATTTATATATGAAATTTCCATGGTATTCTAACTTCTTCATGCCTATATTAGATTGTGTAAATAATATGTGATATTATTTATTGGTTTATTTTTTTATTAAGCTGACTTTATATTCTTAATTATCCTGGTATATCTGTTAGATGTAATTGAAGCTGATAGCAAAGTAGTAGTTTGTATTCAGAGAGTTTCTTTAATTAGTAAGCTTTGAAAACATTGTTCCTACTTCAGTAAGAAATGAGGTTTTGCCTGTCTGGCCTCGTTAATAAATATTACTTTTTCTACTTGTTTTGTTAAGTTCTAGATAGATAAAGATAGGTTTTGAGAATAGGTATGATGTTTAGGGAAAAATTTATAGCATTGCATTTGGAAAATCTGTGTTAATTAAATCCCTGAATTCCCAAGGAAGATTTAGGGAAAGGAAACTTTCAAGAGTAGTAACAGGATATGTGCATTCACTTTCTTTCTTTGCTTACCTTCCTTTTGACATATTTTAATTGTATAGTTTTTATATGTTACCTCAGTGTTCAATTATTTGTTCTATTCTCATTATACTATTATATTTTTTAAAAATTTCTTCCAAGAATATTTAGGATTTAACAATAAACATAATCATATCATTTTGATAAGTAACTTAAATTACATTTGAGATAAATCAGAAATGTTTTGAGCTTGTTAAAAGTGTTAACATGTGGTTGAATTAGTTGATGAATTCAGTCTCGTCACATTTTATTTTCCTTTGAACGTCTAGATGTTACTCCAGGGTATTAAACATTCCTAATTTCAACTGTCCTATATTTATGAGACAACAATTTTAGGGAAGCCAAATATAATAGTGTCATTGAATTCTGAAAAGTGTTTTTTTTCCCCCCAGGGGCCTGGAATAGGAAATGCTTCTCTTTCTGCTTTTGGTTTTGTGGGAGCTGCACTTGAAATCATTTTGATATTGTATCCTTTCTTTAACTGAACCTCTGTCTGTTAACAAGTTTTCTGTCTAGTTTTCTGGGACAGTGGTAATTTACTAAGACACTCTCCTGGAAGAAAAAACAAGTCCGTCTTCCTCAAGCGCTCCAAGTGGCATTTTGTTTTGTTTTTCCTTTCGGCCTTAAGACATTTTGGAGACAATTGAGAACTTAAGGAAACAATTCTTTGGAGAGTTTTTCCTTGATTCTCACAGCTATCTTATGGTGTCCTCTGTTGTTGGTTTCTATAGCCTCCGATTTTTTGGAAACTTTATTCCCAAGAAGGATGACACAACGATGACAAAGGTAAGGTAAAGTCTTAGGTGACTGTGCCTCCCTTTTGCCTTCCAAGACAGACTGTTTTATTTAGTAATCGCAGTGAATGGTTCATTTGCGGTTCTAGGTATTTGTTTGTAAGTTGCGTAAACACACGCACTGGAAGATTTTCAAAATGCTGAATGAGTGGGAAAAGGATGTGCTCTGTTTAATTTGGATGGCATCCATTCACTTGTAAATGCATAGAACCGCAGAGCTTGTTAACTAGCTATAGACGGCTCCTGAAAGGACTCTTTTTCCTACAAAGAAAACGTATTGCTAATGAGTAACTTTGATTGTGCTGACTGTACTTCAGGGAACTTGTTTGAAATCTGAAGAACTTAGTTGCTACAAGTAGTAGAGACAAAGTATTTCAAATTTGAATAATTAAAGCAAGACGGAAGAGTTCTATTCAGAAACATTTTGTAGTCTGAGGCTAATTTGACTTTCTACAATATGTCATTGGCTTTGGAATAACAAAGGCTGTTATCTTATATAGTGACTGCATTTGTAAAATATTCCCACAGGCTGACAATGAAGAATAACAAGAGCTGCTGGCTTCTTTTCTTTTTTATTATATATTCCATATTTTCAGCTTATTCTAAAGGGGAGAAGTTATTTTTATATATCTTTATCTAAAATGCTATGGCTTCTTGAGATACTTAGCATCTAGTTTAAGTAATCATAAGTACTAAGTAGTATTTTCAGCATCTCTTACTTAATATGAAAGAATAAGTATAGGATACAGTGAAAATTACTAGAATTTAGGTGTTTTGGATTTCTAGCTTTTTGGTATTAAATCTTATAATAGTTAAACATATTAGAAGTAGATATCTCTCTTGAGCAGTAGTCTTGGCTTTAAAAGTAGAGTCAGAAGTATTAAAAATATTAATTTTTACTTGTTAGGCAAACCTTTTTGAAATCATCAACCTCAGTCAATAATGTAAAATGCGTTATCTGAGGTGTGAAGTAATTTGTGTTCTATAACTTTATATTTGTGTCAGGTACTGTAAATATCTTCTAGAACTCACAGATAGAACTTTAAGTGTTTGTAGAAAAGTTTCTATTCTCTTTATTTTCTATATTGAATTGTATCATTCAGAAGTTAGCAAAGAACAGTAGGTAACTGAAATGTCCAGTAACTTGCCAGAATGTGAATGGATTTTATTTATCCGTATACTGTGTAACTGCCCTATATTCTTTCTGATTTCTCATATCAGATCATTGGGAATTGTGTGTCAATCTTGGTCTTGAGCTCCGCACTGCCTGTTATGTCAAGAACACTGGGTAAGTTTAAATGAGAACTTTTCATTTAAAGTCAGCACCTTTTTAAGTATCAAACTTCTTGCTAAAGTTGTAGTTTCTAAACTGTTTTTCAAAGAGATCACTCTTTGAAATATATTATTCCCTCCCACATTATTTTATGCCTTTACTTCTGTAATTCATTTATATACAGAACTGTACCAAAATAAGTACTTTTATCAAATAAAGACCACTTATTGTCTCAAGTACTTAGAAATAGTCCTTGTCCAAACAATAGACTTTATTTTTTTCATTGACTAATTAAGCTTTGGAGTCCTCTAGTGAGGAAACTGTGATTTTTAAAAAAAAACCAATATTTAATGTCTAGAAAATACTAAACTAATTTTTTCCTACGTGAAATGTTTTTAAAAATGTGTAATTTAGTATGTGGTTTAAAAAATTGAGAATGTGTAACACTTATTTTAAGCTGCTTTATGTCCAGGGAATAGACTTGAAAGCAGTAAGATCTAGGAGAGCACACACTGATTTAAAGGACGTCCTTTAGCTCTTCAGCTTTTTACTGGCTTGTCATTTATATAGTTTTCGTAATTTTTCAATTCACAGAGAATTTTGGTCATCATTTAAAAGTAAAATATTTCCACTTTGTCATTGAAATAGTTGAATAAATCTTCCTTCATTTGGTGTTCTTATCTTTTATAAAGCACTGTTGCAGACTTTATTCTCAGTTCTTGGCTAAATATTATTTCAGACAAAAATTTCCACTAGGCAGTTTTGTTCCGTTTTCTAGACTTAGATTTTGACTTGAGTGTTCACAAATGATTAGAAAAATCCCATTATTCAACCTTAGCAACATGCTTATGACAAAGATTGCAAGTAACTTTGAATTGCTTTTGTTTTAGCGCTTATGTGGCCTCCATTATTTATTCAAGGCCCACAGCTGTCGGGGATGCAGGCTGTGCCAGGAAGGGTATAAGCTTTGCGGTCATCTTCATAATGCTTACAGAGAAGTTCATGTTTTAATACAAGTGGAATCTAAATGTAAATGTAGAAGGGACCGCCGTTCCACAGACTAATACAAAGCTCATTTACTTAGAGGTCTTATATCTTTTGTGTTTGCATTATAGGACTTGTTATCATTTTGACATCTGCATATAGTGTGCTAATCTTGAAAATGCCATAAATGTACACTTTAGTAACTTGATTTGTAGCTAACTGTGATCGTTTGTATTATGGCAGTCCAACAAATAATTTCTGTGATATTATAGCCAACCTACCATTTTATCATTTATGAAATTCACTGTGCTCTGTTATTTAAGATTAATTGTTAATAGTAATATATAGATTTTATGGAAGAAGATTACATGCTGAGTACAGTTTTAATACAAAGAAAACAAATTAATGGCAAAATGTGCTTTTTTAAGATCAACAAATTAAATTCCTGAGTAGTTTGCCATAGAGATAAATAAAAAGAAGAAAAAGAGAGATGGAACAATTAAAATGCAGCTAACAAATGCCTGGACCCAGCTGTCCAAACAGGATTAATGGAGTGCATTAGGGTACAGTGAGTCATGTGGTGCTTTGCAAAATATCAACACGCACTGCACTACATGTTATGCCCAGTGGCACTGAATAGATGAAAAGAAATAAATACGTTAAACAGATTCATAGAGGCTTTTCACAGTATTAAAAAAGCAAATTTCTAGACTAAAAGAAAAAGCTTTATTTTAGTATTATGGGAAATGCAAACTAGAGAGTTACTTTGTAATGCCTCTATTAACCCTTTAGAATTGAGTCTTTGATTTTAAGAAGATAAAATATAGAGAATTGTCATGAATATTATCCTAGTGTATAACGGGATTTTGATTTACTAGCTGAAAAGCTTATAAGACTAGAATAGAGGATGTATTTAGCAACCAAATTCCAAGCTGTGAAATTTTTCACTCTTTCTCATTGCCTCTCACAAGGAAGTCCTGACCCTTAGGATGCTCTCATTTGCTCCTGTGAATTCAGCCAGCGTTCTCAGTTAAATGAGAAATGAAGGAGCAAGGAAAATTATAATTTATCTGTATAAGTGCAGTTTTTCTCTTATTTTATTAATTTTTAGTGATGATTATAACTTTAATTGTAAATTGCAAGTGTATTGAATCCTGTATAAAATAATTTGGTGATATTTTTGCTTCAAAAATGAAAATGTTTTTTAAAAAATTTAATTTGCCAACTGCTATTGCTGCATCATTGGTATAAACTATAGCTTTAGACTTGAATACCTGGTGTGATATGACAGATTTATTACAGAATTCCTCTGAAATAGCTTCTTATATTTAAATATGGAAGATTTTATACTAATTAAAAAATTACCACTAAGTAGATTTTACAAGCATATTACTTGCCACAAAGAATTAGGTTGTGAGGAGCATCTTGGCTATGTATTTTTAGCCAAATATAATTAATATCGATGGTAGTTTTGTTGTCCATTGGAAACACAAAGAATCTGTGCGTTACACTTTTTATTTGAAATCTTTAAGACCTTTTAAAACTGATGCCGTGTCAGTGGATATGCTTTCCAAAACGTTGCTTTGCTGCCTGTTTAGTGTTCAGTTTTGAAAAATCCAACATTTGGGGGGATATGATGTCCTTATTTTTAGCAATCAATTTACTCTTTGGTATAATAGACTCTCAAGGTGATTAGAGGAGATGGTTCACAAAGTGAAAATGGAACAGGCTCAAACCTAATAAATTATCTATAGAGGCCCAGACTTTTCTATAACAAAATATTTTAAAGGCAGCAGTGAATTTTGTGAGAATAGATTTTGCGAGATTGCTGACATGTTCTTGGTTATGCTTAATCAAGAAACAACTGAGAGATTGACAGTTTTTACATTATTCTTTATTTGAAATCTCCTTTAACAGGAAAAATTTTCTCAGATGCAACCAATAGACTTCGTAATACTTTTACTAATTTCCATTTTGAAGTTATTTTTATAGTTAGTTGTATTTTCATCCTGAAATTCTTTCTGTAAATTATTCAAGGCCCCAAAGCAGATTTTTTTAAATACACTTAAAACAAAAAACACTTAACCTTTCAAGTCAGCTTGGATCTATTTTTAGTATTTCCATGTATTTCTCATCTGGGTCCCATATAGTCCATCATCTTGCAGGATTTAAAGTGGATTATTCTCTTTTGTTCCTTGAAGAAGGGACTATGTTTAAAAACTGATCCTTTGCGGGAGAGGTCTTTATTTGGGTTTGTAAATACACTAGTAATCTTTACCCTGAGCTTTCCCTCTCCAGTGTGAATCAGAAATAAATGATACTTAGACATGACAAATGTGAAATTGAAGTATAAATCTTAATATATATTCCTAATTATGGCTTTGACGTAAAAATAATTCTAAACCCTGTATTGAAAATTTCTGCACAAAAAAATTGTATATGACTTAATTATATTCTGTTACATTGCAGAGAGTAATAAATGAGTGGTAAAATTAACTTTTGATTGATTACTAATGTTCTTATACCTGACCAATAAATTTGTTTATCTAGTTAGGATTTTTAATTATAAAGAAAAAGTAGTCTGTGTCAGATGTCTGGAAGAAGTCACAGAGTCACTAATGCTCACTCCCTCAACACCCTCGTTCCCAGTGTCCACTTGTCGTGTCCTTGTTTCAGAGCACATAGTCCTTCTTGCCTGAGGAAATGTCGTGTTGGCCACATATTCTAAATAACTTAGCCATCTGTTGACATACATTCAACTCCCTTAAGTTTTGATTTGTTATAAAATATTTTTCATATGAAATTAATTCCAGTTAGTATTATTTAGTTGGAGGGAGCCTTAAGATATAATTTTTTTAATGTTAAGAATTAAAATGTTACAATTAAAACTAACGTAAACTACAGTAAGGGTCTTTTTTACATTAAGAATCAAGACCCCCAACCTGGCTGAGAATAGTTAATAGTACACCTATACATGGCCAACTCTGAGACTGATTAACAGGTTATCTCCTTATTTATAGAAAATTTTATTTTTAAATTAATTTTTAAGTATGTACATGAATAACTTCTAATTATGAGGAATATTAAAAACAGAGAGGCTCAAATTCCTTGTGACCACCACTTTTATTTTTATTTATTTATTTTTTTAACATCTTTATTGGAGTATAACTGCTTTACAACGGTGTGTTAGTTTCTGCTGTATAACAAAGTGAATCAGCTATACGTGTACATGTATCCCCATATCCCCTCCCTCTTGCGTCTCCCTCCCACCCTCCCTATCCCACCCGTCCAGGTGGTCACAAAACACCGAGCTGATCTCCCTGTGCTATGCGGCTGCTTCCCACTAGCTATCTGTTCTACGTTTGGTAGTGTATATATGTCAATGCCACTCTCTCACTTCGTCCCAGCTTACCCTTCCCGCTCCCCGTGTCCTCAAGTCCATTCTCTACGTCTGCATCTTTATTCCTGACCTGCCCCTAAGTTCGTGAGAACCATTTTTTTTTTAGATTCCATATATATGTGTTAGCATACGGTATTTGTTTTTCTCTTTCTGACTTACTTCACTATGTACAACAGACTCACTACAAATAATTCAGTTTCATTTCCTTTTATGGCTGAGTAATATTTCATTGTATATATGTGGCACATCTTCTTTATCCATTCACCTGTCGAAGGACACTTAGGTTGCTTCCATGTCCTGGCTATTGTAAATAGTGCTGCAATGAACACTGTGGTACATGACTGTTTTTGAATTATGGTTTTCTCAGGGTATATGCCCAGTAGTGGGATTGCTGGGTCATATGGAAGTTCTATATTTAGTTTTTTAAGGAAGCTCCATACTGTTCTCCATAGTGGCTGTATCAATTTACATTCCCACCAGCAGTGCAAGAGGGTTCCCCTTTCTCCACACCCTCTGCAGCCTTTACTGTTTATAGATTTTTTGATGATGGCCATTCTGACTGGTGTGTGGTGATACCTCATTGTAGTTTTGATTTGCATTTCTCTAATGATTAGTGATGTTGAGCATCCTT